TCGATTTATTTGATCAAAATAATAGGGGCCCAGGAACAACCTAGTACCCGCTAACCCACCTTTTTTCGTATCCAATCGGTATTGAATAGTGATTTTGATAGCGAATGTGATTAAAAATTGTGAATTGATGCGCCTCTGAAGTCTCATTTATTCTCAACAATGTGGATTTTCCCGAGTTGGAAGAGGATGGATTTTACTACGAAATCGGAGACTTGTGTGAAACTACAAAGAATACAGATCTAGAATCAATCACAAATCAAATTGTTGGAACAGAATTCTTAAATGATTTGTCAATCGATATGTTCATTATAAATTTGGTGAACGCAAACAGAACCATACCATTCAATATGCATCCAGTCTGCTATGGACAAAAACAAGAGCGATACAAACGACTTCTAGCCGAACGAGACGATCTGCAAATAACATATCAGCGGCCAGGCCAGCTTTCTTGGCCATTACACCACAGTTCACTATACAATCTACACGGGGAGGGCAATCATGGCAAAAGATTGGACGTATATCAACGAAACATCCTCACTCGCCTGTACCCCGGAGCACAGTATCAATTAATTGAACCGGCAACGTTGCAACCAGATGGATGTTCCTGTGGCATTTTCTCGATTGCATACGCCACAACCATCATTTTGGGACGCAACCCCGCAACATACCATCTAAAAATCAATCAGCACTGAAACAGATAATTTAAAAAACACCAGCGAACTACGAAACCACATCAAAAAAATATACGAAACAAATGAACTACAGCTGTTTCCACAATAAATAATACACACATTTTTGTTTTTGTCTAAGTTTTTGGATACTTGTTTTCATATTGCATCGCAAAAATGACCAATTGATTTCGGTTTGGTAACTTTTGTCTAACTTCATCAAAAAAGAAACAAAAAAATCAGTTCATTCAACTTGCTTATTAAACATTTTGTCGAGATAGCTTATTATTTCCGTCCACATTTTTTGATTTAATTAAAATCAAAGTTCATTCTCCAAATATTTGACTGATTTGCAGTTCTTTGATTAAAGTTCAGTTTTTTCAATACTTGATTATTTTGCATTTCTGAAAGAGAGGTAAATCTTAAGCCAATTTTCCATAAAATACATGAACGTACTGTTGTTTTTTTCTGAAATTTCTCATAAATATCCTAGGCAAAATCTGAATAAAAGCTGAACGCTATGAAAACGGTGCGGAAAAGTTCGTCTTACGGAGGTAAGACTATTTATTCAGGTTCATATTGAGTTCAACGCCCTTCATAATTTGAGAAGATAGACCATTTTGTGGACTCAATTCAATACCAAGCCTTTCCATATTTGTTTTGAGTAATTCAATACAGGTTTCATTCAAAACTATGATCTGATTTTCCGGCGAATTGATGCGATCAATTAAATCAGGGTCTTGGTTATGTGATGAATCTTGCAAGGCATCTACAACTTCCATAAATTGTTGATGGAACGAATACAATTTGAATAGGAGCTGTAGAGCGTTTGTTGTTTTGTTCAATAATTCAGGTTCTTCTTGTGTCGCATTTTCAGTGGGGTATGCAAACTCTGTGTCTACACAACCAGGTGCCGCTTGGAGTTTGTGGCCAATCATTTGAGATCTGGTATTTAACACTGTATGACTGTATAAGGCATTCAAATCATTAATTTTTAAATACATTATTTGGCCATATTTTCCTCGAATTGGAATTCTTATCACATCTGTTGTCACATTCAGTGCATCGTGTAATGGGGACTCTGTCAAAACGCTCTGTGAGCTATTCTCCTTTTTCGTCGGTTTTTGAGCAGAAGGTGCCGTAGCCGATGTCATTAGTTCGGAGATTACCGAGGAGGCTATCAAATCACTTGGTGGGAAGCTATGGAATAATTCAAATTGTGATTCCGAGTCGTCCGAGTCATCAGAGGTCAATGCTTGAACAGACTTAAGGACATTTTGAGTTATGCTGTGTCTAGATTTGCCAAATCGATGTTTGGGCTGCTATTTTGAACCACACCAATCTTAAAAGGATTAGTCACCAATTTGTCCTCTAGGACCAAAATCGCCTTAGGATTTGTCAGTGGTAATGAAGCTGTTGCCAGTTTAAATTCGTGTTGGTTATTGGGATTTATATTCCGTAGAATATGTACTGTTTTTGCCTTGGGATATGTGGATACTAATAATTGAACTTGATTTAAGATCAAGTGGCTATAATCTATCTGAAATTTATCGAAACGAGCTTGAATCTTAGCCGCCGTCACTTGTAAATCTTTGTGTCGATCAAAAACTTCCTCCGCTTTCTGTAGCAAATCACCTAGACAAATTACTTCGCCATCCGATTTACCAGCACACGATGAAATTGCTTTTCCACGCGATGAAATTGGTTCCGTTCGATTTGTGGCCACTTTAGACTTGCTCACACTGGGCTCTTGATCTCAAGCAGAATCAATACAAATGTGCGTTGATACAGCTCCTGCTAATTTTCGACGTCGTAAACTTCTTGTTTCATAAATTATTTTAGGTTCATTCACTTTTTTCTTCAATATGCATTTTTCCTTTGACTTTCGAATTGGCTTTTTCACACTATCATTGATAATTACTTTTGGACCTCTTTGTTTCTTTTTCCGTTTGTTATTGCCATTTGTTTTGTTATTGTCATTTAGCTTTTTTCTAAGCTTTTTCTGTCTAACCTCTTCAGCCTCTTCCCATTTTTTTTAGCTCTTTTTGATTTCGTCGAATCAGACGCCGGTTACGTTCGCGCAAAATTTTCGCTTCTTTGATGAATTTCTCCGATTCAGGTGCCGTATCGGTGTCCTCTTCACTCGTATTGCCATCTTCATTTTCAATATCGCTATCGTCATCGTGTTTATCCGGAACAAATTGTATTGATTCCTCGCAATCGCTGTCGAACATATAAATCTCATAGCCTTTTTCGATTCCCGGATATTCATGTGGCGTAAAGTCTTTGAAATCATCGTAATTCGGCTTGATGAATTGCAGTTTATCATTAGCACCAGCCGTTGTATTTTCGACGATTTGCATCTTCTTCTCGGTCACCAACAATTCTTCACATTCTCTCTTCAGGTCCGGCCATGGAACTAACCAATTGAGAGTTTTTATACGTGGCATCGTCAACAGACACACCAAATCTGATCGCATATTCTCCGACAAATACGTGAGCGAATCAAGCAAAAAGTTGGCTGCCGCAGCCAATTTACAAACCTTCTGGGAGCATTCGTAGGTTGGGTTCATTGAGAACGCCGTAAGTATACATTCTTTTTCTAAATTTGGATGACTATGAAGGATTTGGCCCAAAAACAAATAACGTATCGATGTTTGCTTCTCCAAATCCAATATGACTGACGCATCAACAGTTTCGTCGTGTTTTTTATCCTCCAGCACATTGATTTCTTTTGTTAATTCCGAACAAAATATCCGCAATACAGTTTCACTATCGTTTGGATACTAGAAAATCAACGAAAATTTGGATTAATACATTTTATGGGATAAATGTCTGAGGAATATTTCAGTTTACCAACCATTTCGAATAGAATTTCACAACAATCGTAAATCTGTGAATTGGATGCGGCCGTTTGTATGAGTTTATCAAAAAGTTCCCCGAAATTTGCCAGTTTCTTATTCCTTCGGATCCATTCAATGAGCAGTCGTCTGAAGACATTCACTAGGTCGTCCGTTGTATATTTACCGCTTAAAATAGGCACCAATATCAATTGCAATGCATATTGACTAACAGCCAGTGCCGGTATTCTGGAACACAATCCGCAAAAATAATACAGAATTATTCCGAGCGATCAATTGTATTTTGGAAGGTGGTATCCAAACGTTCAATCAATGAAAAAGAGACAAATCCATATATAACGTTTGGATCCCACCTTCCAAAATACAATTGATCGCTCGGAATAATTCCGCATTATTGTTGCGGATTGTGTTCCAGAATACCGCCACAGGTGATATTTGTGTAAACGTGCTGCCGATGATAGTTGGTCTTTTTTGTCGGTCTCCACATGAGCATAATCGTTAAAAAACTATCGATTATAAACTCTTTGACCGATTGCAATTCCATGGATTCCAATTCAGTTTTGGGGCGGGAAGACTCCTTGAATTTGTACATCAAGGAAAAATAAATTTCGAACAACGTTTGTTTATGACCCAGTGACATGGTTCGTCGTAAAACGTGTTCCTCGGTGCAAATTTGAATCACACGTAACCCTTCTGTCACAAAATTCATGGCCAAACGATCACATTTCATCTCGATCAATTTTCGTGCACGTATTTCTATCATACATCCCTGTTAGATCGAAAAGTATTCGATTTCTGTTCGACAGGTGAAGTGAAAGATGAAAATGGGAGATTAATTAAGAGGATTTCAAGTATACTATTTTTGAAAATTATTATTTACTCACCTTTCTTAAGCTGTTCTTCTGATATGGTTGTAGGTTATTGAAGATCAGTTTCAGTATTGGATGAAACCATGATTCGGTATCAAAACCACTGCTTTGTGTTAAATTCGAGCCGCTCAAAATAGTTAATTTCGTTCCGGACATTGACGCCGATTCATTTGGAAAGTTTTTCACCATTTTTACAAACCAATAAACAATAAAGATAAACAAACTATAAGCATTGCAGCAAGTTTGGTATGAAATGTCAGTGCAATGTGTCAATGTCACATTGTGACTCGATGCGACTCACGTCCCTATTGGCGAATTTCAAAATTCCTCTGAAATACCCTAATCGAAGGAAATGTCTTATCGAAGAAGAGCAAACGAAATTCATTAAAAACCGAACGAAATATGTGCCGGAAAAATGTAAAAAATATTTATTCAAAAAGAGAACGTACATAACTATTATTTGCTAAATTTTGATGAAAATCGTTGGAGTGGTTATGGAGAATTTTATCCTCGAAGTGATAAATTTCGACTACGATTTTTTTAGGTTTCAATAGTGCATCGTATTTGATCGCAGACAAATTGGTGAACTTCACATGAAATTTTCATAGATTCATGTTCAATGCCATAGTTTTTTTGCTTTTTATGGTCGCCTCGATGCTGTCTTCTTCGACCATCGTTATCAAAACATTCAATATTTTCATTTCGTCCGTTGTTCGTTGCTCGCACGGATTCTGGAGAAACTTTGAAAAAATAGCTACGAATTTGGAACGTAATTCACCAATAAGTTGAGCATATTTCTTGTCAATGGTAAACATGACCCAATTGTCAATATTCAGTCTGCAAAACGCGTGTTCCTGTTCATCCATGTTATTTCTTACATCGCATTGTAGATTAGTTTGACCAGTGAACAGAATCAGGTTCATACTCGGTATCAACGTGTTATTCCGAATAAACTGATGGTTTTCAATGCAACATTCTTCACCATACACAAGCCATTTGGACATCTGGAATACGGCTTCATCTGTTCCTAGTTGTCCGTTGACTCGTTTCGATAGTGTGGATGATTGATGGGGTATTACAATGGACTGTTTCGAGACAACCAAATTTTTGTCGATTCGACACACGTTCGCTGTAAAAAATAATGCATCCGTTGTTGAATAAATATTACAACTAGTGTTGAAACAACAACATTCCAAACAACAAAATAAAATACTACTGAATAATTTAAAATTGATCATTTGAAATTGAAAAAAACGACTTACGGTAGAGTCCTGCCATCAAGCAAGCTTTGATTAGAGCCCAATTCATTGCGTTTTCATTGGCGTTTTCTTCGTCGAATCGGGCCATCTTCAGGTGACGCTTGATGATCTGCTGCACGCCGTCAATCATTTCCATTTTGGAATTGCAAATCGAATTTTCTGCACAAAATTGTTGTCTGTTGCTTGATTGAGACCATCCAAACCAAACATTATAAAACATTTGATGGTCGCTGAAAGAATTCTCTGAGAATTCTTTTCCGATTTTATCGATTGAGACCGAATTGTCTGTTGGTAACAAAAATGGATCATTCAGCGATAATGCGCTGACTATTACCAATACTGGTTGAAAGCAGCGAAAGATGATGGCATGAAGAATTGCTATGCCAAGAAAACAATCCACTGGCATATGCGCTAACTGGTATCCCAAAGTGGTAATATTTCTGTTTGAACACAGTGCGTTGATATTTTGAAGCCGATTGATATCGTGCTCAATTTGTGTTTTTGATGGTGGCTGAATTGCCTTCAACAAAAACCTTTCGATCGGCAAATTGCTATCCAACATTTTTGACTTCAGGCAGACATCTGTCATTGAAATTCGGCATATTTCTGGTAAGGAATACTGCTCCATTGCGGTATATTCAGCATCAGAATATAAACGGTAGCAATACCCATGTCGAATTCGGCCGGCTCGCCCAGCTCGCTGTTTCCCACAGTCTTGGGAAATGGTTTTGGTCATCAGGCAGGTGGATTCATTTACTTTATCGTAGGTTTTTTGTTTGACCTTTCCAACGTCGATCACGTAAAGCTATGTGAGAGGTTATGATTTACATTGTAAGTTAAATATTGTTTGGTTCGGAAAAATATAAATTTTAAATGTTTATTACCACATCATCAATGGTAATTGAGGTTTCCGCGATGTTTGTACTCAATATGATTTTTCGAACTCCTCTCGGCATTGAATTAAAAACTTCACTTCCACCACCAACCTCACTGTGTAGAATAAAGACGCAATAGTTTACAATACCATGGCGTTGGAATTTTTTTTCAACATTTCCGCCTGTTGTACAATATCTTGGTAACCAGCGAGGAAAACCAAGATGTTTCCGTCCTCGCCTGTTGAATGAATGTGGGCAATCACGTGGGTAATTAATGCATGATCCATATCCTTTTTGGGGTCGATGGTCTTCATGTATGCTTCTAGTACCAGTTCGTTTTTTGCTGAGGTTGACAATCCAATGCATTGTGTATTATTATTCAACCCAATTGGGAAATTCGTCTTGATGAGTACTGAGGCTAGTTGGTATATTTCAACGTAATATAGACGACCAGGTACATTAATAATCGGGCAATCATCAAAATAATGACTGAATTTGGCGGCATCCAACGTAGCTGACATTAGGATCACTTTGATATCAGGGTCAGCTTTAATAGCGTCTCTAATGGTGATGAGCAAGAGATCTGTATTCAGTTCTCGTTCATGCACCTCGTCTAGAATCAGATGAGTAACTTCCTTACAAGCATCTTTTGAGCTGGTCATACAACGTAATAAATAACCGCTAGGTAAATAAAAGGTGAAAAACAGAAATGAAAAAGCAATACATTGTTTTTTTAAATAACAAGTTTTAGATATTGATCATTGTTATAGCCGGCCACCATACCAAAAAAATAACGGGAGTCCATAAACATTTGAATACCTACTTCGTTGTTATTTTGGCAATAAATCAGCATTTTTGCATCTGAATGAATGAAATTGAACTTACCTTGTGGTTAATACCAAATTCGTATCTTTCGAAAAGCAGCTATCGCACCGAATTTGATGTCCAACTGTAGTACCGTGAACCTCATTCCATTCTTCCGAGATTCTCTTAGCAATTGACGTTGCTGCAATTCTTCGGGGCTGTGTGAGGATGATGCGACATTTTTCCTGCCATTTATAGCAGTACTCTAGAATCAATTGTGGCACCTGTGTAGTTTTACCCGATCCTTGTGAATATTCGAAAATATCAATTAATTGTCAAATTTGTCAACGCAATATGGCATTGCCAACTAAAGAGATAAAAGACCACTGAGTAATTTTGTACGGGAGATTGAATTTTATTTCACACATTGATTACCTGTTTCGCCAGAAATTACAACAAGTTGATTTTCATTTATTTTCCGCATAATCTCCTCCCGGTGTTGATATACGGGAAGACATTCTCCGGTACGTGTCATCTTTTCCGTCGTTTACAACATCGGTGGTATAGATGGTAGCAACACCTTGAATTCGCATTTGATTGGTTGTGTAGTTTTCTGATTGAAGCAAAGGTCAAGAGCGATAGTATCTATCGATGACAGTGCGTTGTAACCATTCTCTGTCAGAATCAAATGTGGTATTGACAGAGGGTCTTCTGATTTCCGTACAACCAACAAACGATTGACGTCTAGCCAGAGAATAGATGAGAAATATAAATATAAAAAATGTAACAACAATTTTTGTGCATTAATGAGCTGTTTATATAATTGAACTTACCTGAACCTTAGTAAATGGGTTTTAACCCTTTGACGACCTTTGGGACACATATGTCCCATTTGGTTTTTCGTCTATAATTTCCACATTTTTAAATCGATTTCAATAAAATTAGTTTCTCTTGAAAGAGAATGAATGTAGCTACCAGAAAGTACCATAATATTGGATATATATCATCTCTGTGTTCAAATACGACACTCCAAAGTCGAAAAATCATAACTTTTTTTTCAAGTTGAATTATTCTCATCGATGAGTCATCGATGCACAATCATGCTACAGCTACGCTAGAACGCAGAGGTCGTCGCTATTAGCGGTTACTCATCGATAAGTCATCGATGCTGTCGTTTTCTATATACTGCGTACGCGGCGGTACATGGGTTAAACGAAAAATAAATGAAAAGGCCTTAAATAGCATAGAAATCAAGCGGAAGATGATTCGGAAGACGCTATGCTCGCACGTACGTTAACTTTACTGTTATATTTCTCTTTTTTTTTCAACATTGAAAAGAATAGATCTTATATCGATATTCCTTCTTTTCTTTTCTTTTCCTTCCTTCTTTTCTTTTCTTTTTCTTCCTTTGAATAAAACAGGCATAAAAAAGTTTGCTGATACCATGACGGTACGAAACGTAAACCTCATGTTGAAGCGGTATTACACCAACTCCGAAAACAGCGAGCTTTTAGCACGTTTCTTCAACTATGTGGCCATCAATCCTGACGATGAATTGGTAGCAGTAATGCCGATTCCCGAAAACGCTTGGTTCGGAACTGCTGTTGGTTACGTTGTCAGTGACACGCAAGTGAAACGGTGGATGCGTACCAAAAAAACTATGCTGGATTATTGCATTCCTTTCAAGAATGACAACAATGACATGCAGTATTTCTGTACGTACGAAGTCGGGTTGCAATATCCAAATTATGCGATATTGGACCGCGAAAACCGTAACGCTACATATGTACTGTATACCAATGAAAACAGCACTACCCCCGACGATCCAAAGCGCACCGACCGGTTCACAATGCGGGCTTTGCGAGAGGCCTTTTCATTTATTTTTCGTCGATACTCATATGTTTAACCCATGTACCGCCGCGAACGCAGTATATAGAAAACGACAGCATCGATGACTTATCGATGAGTAACCGCTAATAGCGCCGACCTCTGCGTTCTAGCGTAGCTGTAGCATGATTGTGCATCGATGACTCATCGATGAGAATAATTCAATTTGAATAGTCAAATATATGCAGATGGCGCTGCAATTTCGTTCATCACTGAAAGATGCCAATGTTGCACCCTCCCGACTAGAATATGTCCTCGTTTTTCGATTTCAATCAATTTTTCAAGAAAAAACAAAATGTATTCTCGATTTTCTATTGAAACTATAAAATGTGATCTCATTTTTGAACTAACTTTGGTTTTACGCCTACCTTGATAAAATCCTGGGTACGACGCCCTTGATACTGACATATTGTTTTTATACTCACATAATTTGGACTTGAACAAAAAACTTTTCACTATTGCCATCTAGTGAGTTGAAGAGCACTGAGAGTCAATCAACAATAATTTTCCGATGGATTGAAATGATTTTGGCTTTGAAAAGTTGGTTCTTCGTAAAATTCATTTTATTAGTAACATCTTACTGTTTATATACAATTTGTTCTTAAACTAGATTTTCTACTATACCAAAAATGGTCAACGGCAAGAGAAATTACCTTTAATGGGCATGTTTACTATTCTGTTCTAATTGGCTTCGTTATTGTCAATTTACATATAATGTGTGACTAAATACTAGTATGATTAGCTATTTGAATTCATTATTTCAACACCTTCCCTGAATTTAATATAGCTAGACATTATCTATGTAACTAACCTATCATATTTCAATATGTCCTTTTTACAATATGATACTTAAGAATGCTATTAATTCTTAATAGTGGCCACTTCTTACTTATTTTAGATAAGAATGTTGGTTTTATAGTTACAGAAGAATCGATCATTGATTGAACTCATTTAGTTTTACAACGAATTTTTTCACTGTTAGATCAACCACACATGGCAATAAATGGTAATATTGAGAACAATTATTGTTCATGTTCTGAGAAGTGTAAAAGGTAAAAACATTCTACATATAGCCAACGATGCATTGATTCGATTCGGTCTTAAACGATCATCGGTTGATCAATGCTTTTATCACCGAATCAGAGGAGGTAAAATAGTTTTGGTCGCGATCTATGTAGAGGATATATTGATATTTATAAATCAAGATAAACAAGAAAAATAAGCGAAAGAGGCGCTAAAATCGGAGTTCAAATAGAAAGACATGGGAGAAGCTTTGTCGATTTTAGGAGTACGAATCCAAAGAAACAAATTTGGATCAGAATGCGTACATGCAGATAATATTGGAAAGTTTTAACAAAACCAATTCCTTTAATATGTACAGTGATTACGATATCGCTCTCAGTATCTCATAGGATAACTGAACGAGATAATTCAGCTGACTGAGATGACGCAGTGACGCATCGCCCGAGTCTATACGGACTGAGTGTATAAGGATGCCGCTGGGCGCATGGTGTGCGAGTTAATATGTCGCATTTCAATTATTTTCATATTCTAATCAAAACTACCAAAGTATTGCACAACAAATATAATTCAATTATATTATTAGTTTTTGCATATCATATTCTTGGAACCAATTGTAAACCAACCATGAGAAATAATAATTAATATCAATGGTCAAGATCATGATTGCTAATATTCAATAACAAATAAGATAAAATACAATAAATAACAATAGAATTAAATGTCAGCCAGTTCAGTTTTGGTATATGAATAAATGCACATAGTGCACGAAATACTAGCTGTTCTCATTGTTTTATTTGAATGATTCATCTCGTTCATTAACTGGGGGCTCAACAGGGAAATTTTGAAGAGATCTGTTTTTATTCTCAATAAAAGGTGATTGTACATAGAGTCGAGTACAATAGTAAAAGCAGTGAGCACAATTTTCCGAACTCGAAATAAATTGTTAGAAACAATCTGAGACTTAAAAGCGTTGTATTGTAGTCTAGTAATACACAGATTTGAAACAATTTACTAGAGAGCAAATGTTTCGTTAAGAGGTCAAATTACGTAAACAATTTTGAGATCGAAACGACTCTAAATGAGTATAAAAAAACCCACGCTTAAAAGCGAAAAGTGAAATTTGTTCGAATACTGAGTTAACGAAAATTTCAAGGGGAAAAAATTCGGAAAGAACTTTGCTTCAACGTTGCAAAAAGTGATATAATACTATAAAAATTACCTTCCAAGGAAATAAATAAAAAATGATACAAAAAAAAAACAAAAAAATGGCAGAAATAAAAGAAATACAAGATCAAATCCAACAAATATTGATCAAGCTACAAGCTAGCGAAGAAAGACAAAGGCAAAGTGAAGATCAAACCGAGAATTTGAATGATAATTCAAATGAAAACCTATTCAGTACAATGGCTGAAGAAGATGAAGACATCGAAACAGAAATAAAATCCGGCGATCAGATACAACTCGAATCGTATAAGTCAATACCCGAATTTTCTGGTTTAAGGGGGCAATATAGATCATGGCGAAATCAAGTAGTGAGACGAATGAAAATGATTCATGCATTTCAAACTCATCCTAAATATGAAGCTGCTTTGTGTATTGTTCGGGCCAAAATAACGGGAGCTGCATCAAATGTATTAATTAATAACAAAACAGCTTATAATATTATTGCGATAATCAAGACACTTGATTCATCATATGCAGATCGACGACCATTATATGTGGTGGAGGCAAAAATGACATCCATCAAACAATTCAATAAAACTTTACAAGAGTTCCATGACGCTATCAATGAAGCATTACATATGGTAATTTCTAAAATTGTGTTGGATTATAAACTCGAAGAGGAACAAAGATCGTTGATAGTAGAAGCTCAGAAAAAAGCTGTTCGAACTATTACTGTTGGATCGAAAAGTCAAATGATGCGACATATATTATACAGTCGGACACCGGGATCACTGGCAGAAGCATTGACAATTGCACAAACAGTGTATTACGATCACCTATATACAGAATCACAAGACTACTATACACGATCACAACAAAAACAAAACTCTTCAGCAAAACCTAATCAAAACTACAATAAATTAAAACAAAGTTCAACACAATCCCCTACTGTTAATAAACCTGAAAATTTGACAACCAATGAAAAGAAACGAGAAAACTGGCGTCAAAAAAATCCACAGCAATCGCAAAAAAGAATTAATTAGCTTCAAAATGACGAACCACATCAGTTAGATGAAAGACCCAATTCGGATGAAGAATTTCAAAACATTCCTGATGACTTAATCTCAAATTCGTCAAATGTATCATCTGAAAAAACTTCATCAAGTGCTTTTTCAGGCGGATAAAGGGTCTCCCATGCTTGGTGAGACGAGATAGAATGACTGAACGGGAAGTGATCATTTTGATAGACTCGGGAGCTACATACAATTATATTAAAACAAATTTAAGGATTGGTGAGTCCGTTCCATTACCACAAATTTATAGACCAAAGACATTACATGGTTATTCCGAAGTAAAATCAAAGAAAATAATAAATCTTTTAGACTATGATTTAACTTTTTTTGAAATAAATGAATTGGTAGATTACGATATGATTCTGGGAGAACAGGGTTTACGACAAAT